ATTATTCAAATAAAATAGAATCTAATCAAGGGAATGTGAAGGTATTATGGCAAACTATTAATGATCTCTTAAAAACTAAAAAGAAAGTATGCTCTGATATAATAGTTGAAAGTGGTAATGAAATCACGGACCCTCATTCAATTGCTACTGCTTTCAATAACTATTTTGTAAATATAGGTCCACGTTTAGCCTCAACAATACACTCAAATGAAAACTTTATGGATTATTTATTTGATGCTAATGAAAATTCATTATTTTTTATTCCAGTGAATGAAAATGAAATATTAGATATAGTTCGATCGTTTAAGATGAGTAGATCATGCGGTTATGATGGAATAAGTGTGTATTTATTAAAGAAAATTATTTATTGTTTGGCCTCTCCCCTAGTTCATATTTGTAATTTATCACTTTCGACAGGCATTTTCCCGGACTCCTTAAAGATAGCCAAAGTGATTCCTATTTACAAAAAAGATGATTTAACTCAAATAAAAAATTATCGCCCTATCTCGCTATTGCCGGTCATTTCCTAAGATTTTAGAAAAAATTGTTTACAAACGTCTTTATTCTTTTTTACAAGAAAATAATACTCTTATTTGCAATCAGTTTGGATTTCGAAAAGGTTTTTCTACTGATTATGCTTTGATACAATCTTGTGATAAAATAACTCAACCACTTAATAATAAGGAACATATAATTGGGGTATTTATGGACCTGTCAAAAGCTTTTGACACCATGAATCATAACATTTTGTTGCAAAAACTTACTCATTATGGTATACGAGGCACAGCCTTAAAATGGTTTAAGAATTATTTAGTTATTCGAAAGCAATTTGTTTCATTTCAGTCAGTAAATTCCCCTAACTTAAATGTGTTATGTGGTGTTCCACAAGGATCAATTTTAGGCCCCCTTCTTTTTCTTATTTATATTAATGACATAGTAAAGTCATCACCACTTCTTACTTACGTGCTTTTCGCAGATGACACTAACATATTTTGTTCTCATAAATGCTTGAATACTCTAATTTATACTCTCAATAATGAATTAGTTAAAATCTCAACATGGTTTAAATGCAATAAATTGTCCCTTAATTTAGATAAAACATGTTTTATAAATTGTTGTGCTTCCCAAACACACTTTGATCAGGTTATAAACATTGTTATTGATGATATTTCTATAGCTGAAAGGAAATCGACAACATTTTTAGGTATAACTTTGGATCCAAAGCTTACTTGGAATAATCATGTAAATAATATTACAACATCAATTTCAAGGGCAGTTGGGGTAATTGGTAAAATGAGGGATCTTGTACCCAAGAAAATACTTTATACATTATATAATGCATTAGTGTTACCTTATTTTACATACTGTAATACAGTTTGGGGGAACTGTAGTATAACTAAGATTAATATAATTTTTCTTTTGCAAAAAAGAGCACTTAGGATTTGTACTCATTCTAATTACTTAGCTCATACAAATCCGTTATTTTATAGATTAAACATTTTAAAAGTGAGTGATTTGCACTTATATCAAACAGCAATCTGTATGTTTAAATACACACAAAATTCACTTCCTCTTTTTCATGACGTATTTATTCCTAAATCCCATGTTCACTCATATCCAACGCGTAATTGTACTGATTTTCATTTACACAATCCTAAAACTTTGTTAACGCATAAGTCCATAAGATATCACGGTCCAGACATTTGGAATGCACTCCCTAGACATATTAAACAATGTACATCTCTCTATTCATTTAAAGCTTCACTAAAAAAACACATTATTTCACAATATAATGTAAAAAAAAAAAAATTTAAAAAAAAAGCGTTCTTTGTAAAACTTTAGAAACTACATTAAATTTTGGTCTGACGTTACATAGTAATACTGATGATTCAACATGTTGGCGCATGAGGACACTTGCACTTGCACACACACGCACCACTCGCACCCTTGTTTCTGTTTAGTTTCTCTCTTATCTCTGTCATTAAAGATAAACTTTAGTACTGGTAATGCGATTGCATTGTGAAAGAAAAGGTGTGGAAAGGATCAGAAACAGTTGATCATGTAGCATGTAAGTATTGGTGTGCACTGCAAGGTTCTGGAGTCATCAAAATCATAATAAATTTGACCGAGTCTTGGTAAAGTAACAAGCACTCACATAGAAAGCTATATATGGGACAACATACATGGTGTCGGGGCTAGTACTACCTTGATTTCCTTGTCTTTCTATGCTCATTACTCAGCCAGTATACATTTTCTTCCAAAATTGTTTGGCACATGTCACTTATTTGTAATCTTGAACATTCAGTGTAAGTTTCGTTTGATTCTGTGAGAATTTTTTTTTATTTTTTTACCAGTACTGGAGTTTATCTTTAACGTATACTTAGTAACCATATAAAGATGAGATTCATATGCTAATTCTATAATTATTTATATTGAATCCAACTGTTTATATTCACATTTAATTGTAATATATATCATTTGAGTATCATGGCCCCCTCTTCTTGTTACTTTGCCAATATTTCACAACTCATTTTTATCTTAGCTCGGTTGACGGTCTGCTCAAGCTTTTGCTTATAACGGCGACCTTCTGCTTTCTTTCTTTATACACGCAATGGCCCAACGTATACATTTACTCTTATTCATGTATTATATAATTATCCATATTTGATGTATAACTGATTTGTTTGATTGCAGAAAATAAAGTCTTTGAAATGAAAAAAAGAAAAGAAACACATTTTAATGAACTAAGCCTGACGAAAATGCCTAAATGGCAGTCCTTTTCCAAAAGGGCCGCCATAAACCTGATATTTCCCAATATCTCTACTTCTAAATGACTTAGGGCTATGATTTGTAGTGCTAAATATACATCTCCTGGGGGCAGGAATCCAATGAAACACAATTCAATGAACTAAGCCTAACCAAGTATTCAAGTATTCAATTTTATTTCACATCTCTTTAAAAAAACACATTAAAAGATATACAAACAAATCATTATTTAAAACAATATAAATACATACAAAAAACATTCATTTACATTGTACTGATGAAATAAGGATGAAGGGTGGAGGATGTGGGGGATCAACAAAGGCCATTGGCCTGTCAAGGTTGATCCCCTATATTTCCACCCTTCAAGAGAAATACATTATACAAAATATAAACAATAAAAACGATCAAACAAACAGATAATATAACATAGCATAATCACATAAAAAACACAACATAATTATTTACATAAATCACATAAAAGGCAATTAGATCAAATAAAACTACTCACAATTAAGAAGATAACATTTATATTTTTTCCTGAATGTAAAAACAGTGGATATTTCTTTTAATACGTTTGGCAACTCATTCCAAAGCTGTGGGCCTTTAAAACTTACTGTAGTTCTTGAAAAGTTAAAAATATAAAAAGGTACATACATTTTATTGGAATTTCTTGTTTTATATTTATTGATGTTGCAATTATATTCGAAATAGTCATGAAAGTTATTGGGCAATAGTTGTTTAGAGTAAGAAAACATAAACGCTGCTAGTTGTAATTTATTTATATCAAATATATTCAATATTTTTAACTTTTTAAATAATTGTTGGGTATGTGCTAAATAGTTTGATTTGGTAATTGCTCGTATTGCACGTTTCTGTAGTAAAAACAATTTTTGTGATAAATAAAATGAGCAACCGCCCCATACAATATTAGAATACATAAAATGTGATAGAATCATACAGTTATACAAATTTGTTAAAATCTTCAGTGGTAAAATGTGTTTTAAAATATTAAAGACTCCAATGGATTTAGATATTTTTAAAGCAATGTAATTAACATGTTCCTTCCAGTTCAAGTTTTCGTCAATGATTACTCCAAGAAATTTAGTACTGGTTTCTCTCTTTATACTTAGATCATTAAGTTCAATATTTATTACATTATCTTGTATTCTACAATTCCTACTCTTAAATATCATATAACATGTTTTATCGCGATTAATGTAGAGTTTATTGGCTGTAAACCAAGTTTGTATGCTTTTAATTTCTGAATTAAATAGATTATTTAATGCAACTGGATCTTTACCTGATAAAAATAAACTTGTGTCATCTGCAAATAAAATTACTGATAAAATATTGCTAACATATTGCAGATCATTAATATAAAGTAAAAATAAAAGGGGGCCGAGATTAGATCCCTGAGGTACACCTACTGAAATACTTTTATATTCTGAATTAAAATTATCAACGCTTACATATTGCTTCCTATTGCACAAATAACTTTCAAACCACTGTATTGCATTTCCCCTTATTCCATACTATTTCAGTTTTTTAAGTAAAATTGAATGGTCAATACAGTCAAACGCCTTTGACAGGTCTAAAAAGAGAGATATAACTATGTGTTTCTTTTCGAAGGCTTTGGCAATTTTATCTGTTAATTCAATCAATGCATGGGTAGTACTATATCCCTTTCTAAAGCCAAATTGTTTATTGTGCAAAATATTGTGTTTTTCAATAAAAGATATTAATTTATCATAAACAATTTTTTCTAAAATTTTACTAAAAATTGATAAAATAGAGATTGGTCTATAATTATTCAACATATTTTTACTGCCATTCTTATAAATTGGTATAACTTTAGCTATTTTTAATGCATTAGGAAATATGCCTTTTTCAAGAGAAGAATTAAATATATTGCACAAAGTAGACACAATTGCATTAATAGAACATTTAACAATTTTAGCACTAATTTCATCGTAACCAGGACATTTACTTACATCAAAACTCGATATAATATTAATTATAGTAGATTTTGTGATTGGGCTAAAAAATAAAGACTCACAAACAGATCCCTGTAAAAAGCTATTAAATGATGTAGTTACTGCACTATCCAACTTATCATGAATTTTCTGTCCAACTGTACTAAAGTAATCATTGAATAGATTTACAATATGAGATTTATCCTTTATAGATCTACCTTCAAATTCAATTTCATTAACATCATGCTTACTTTTTCTTTTGTTCAAAACTTCATTTATAACATTCCATGTTTTCTTTGCATTGTTCATTACATCCTTAAACTTATTATCATAATATTTACGTTTTGTATCACGTATCAAGTTATTAAATCTATTTCTAAAATTGACATAAGTCGCTCTGCGATATGTCGTAGGATTTTTAAGATATTTTTTGTATAAAATATATTTATGTTTACTCATTTTCTTAATTTCTATTGTAATCCAAGGTTTAACATTTGCATGTTTCTTTCTTTTCATCTCTACCTTTTGGAAACATTCGTTATACAATTTCACATATATTTCAAGAAAACTTTCATACTTCTGATTAACATCATCAAGACGATCTAAAAATTCCCACTTCACAGACTGTAATTTTGAACAAAATGTATTGATGTGAACATCACTGAAGTCACGTTTTGAGTAAACTATTTGAGGATCATCTGTATCAGGTTGAGATGAAATCATGATAAAAGGAGTAAGATGATCACTGACATCTGTTAAAATTATTCCACTCAGCTTAACCTTTTCTGGATTATTACAGAAGAAATTATCCAAAGTAGTCGCAGAATGTGAGGTTATTCGGGTTGGCTTGATTATTTGTGGTAAGTAAGAAAGTGAAATAAAGTTATCAATGAATTCATTAACATGTGAAATAACATCAAGTTTCAATAGATCAACATTAAAATCACCCATAATGATGCTCTCCTTTTTCTCATTCATAATAACATTCAGCGGTGCTTGTGTATCATTTATAAAAGATTGTACTCCTTGGTGTGGTGGTCTATACATAACAAGAACTATATAATTCTGTACTTTATTATATACCTCAATGGAAATACTCTCAACAGCATTAGTAAACACATCTAAATCTGGTCTTCTTTTAAATCTTATTTTGTCATGAATAAATACTCCTACGCCTCCCCCTCTTTTTCCTTGTCGAGGATTACTTAGGAAGGAATATTGGGGAAGAGAAAAATAGCTATCATCATCATCACTCTTAAGCCATGTTTCAGTGACCCCAATTATTGACATAGGTCTGGAAAATGTTTGGACACATTGTAAGAAATTATCAAAATTGCGCTTTAAACTACGGCAGTTAAAATGAAATAAAGTCACTGTAGAACAAGTATCGAAATTTTTAGTAGATTCATAAAATTCATCAGGAGTATAAACTTTGTTATCCGGAAGAAGTTCTTCATTAAATGTAGTAGCTAAAGATTTATACTCTCTTGAGCTTCGATTGCAAAGAGAGCAATTATCACAAGTTGTAGAATTCTGCCTATTACATAAAATACAAGTACACAACATAGTACGTTAAACTATATCCTATCAAAAACAAAAACGGAAAAGTCTGCAATATAATATAATGTATCGGTAGTACAAGCGGATATTATGACTAGTACATGGTATTCGCATTATTTCTCATCAGCTGAATATGGTTTCACTACATTGAGTGATATAGTCTACTGATATGAGCATAAATGTATATTAACTCAGCATTTACCTGTTTACGCTTTACATGACAATATTTTCATATTTTCTTAAGATCAGTCACTGAGTGTATTCTTTTCCTTACCGAACCTCCGTTCGTGGCCTTCACTAGAACAGTCACTCTGCCATCTGTGGACCATGCGGCAATTGCATTTGTGTTGAGTTTCACTTCATCCTTTGCTTTTTGAAGCAACATTCTGTTTGCTGCTGTCAAGTCTTCGTCAATTCCTATGTGTTTCCCTTTAAGTCGTTTCCTGTTCCTGATCACTAGATGGCGAGCACGATAAGTAGAGAACTTGACGATGATGGGTCGTGGAGGCTTCGTCTTGTCTCCTGGTCTCTTATCATGACGCGGGGTACCAACACGATGTGAGCGGTCAATATCGGCCAGATTCAGATTTACACCAAGATCTTTGTTTGCAAGATTTATCATCACTGCGTCGGTGTCCTCTTTGTCCTTTTCTGGGATGCCGTATAATCGTAGACTGTTCCTCCTTGAGTACTGTTCTTCTTCATTCAACTTGGTTCTCAATGACTTGATAACTTCAGATCTAGAAGTTTGCTCTTTCTGTAGTGAAGTTATAATGGAAGCTTGTGACTGGAGCGCATTTTCCAGATCCATTACCTTACTCTCTGTTTGTTCCAGTCGATCACGAAGATGGTGTAACTCCCTTGTCACACCTTCAACAAGGGATGTCTGAAACAAGTCTTTAAATCCTTGGCTGTTGAAATACTCTCTGACCTCATCACTTATCTGATCACATACATCATGGGTTTCCTCAGGCTGGGGAGCCATCTTCCTTGTTTTTGGTGGCATGATTCAAGAGAACAGACTTGTTGAATAGGCGAGTGTAAAGAAGCTCTGGTAACTCTGGTAACAAATGGTGCAGTGTAATCAGTATATAAAGAACCAGTAATAGGATTACTGCTATATACAATAGTTAAGTTAATCAGATTAAAGCATCACAATACTTAGATCTCCAGATGGTTGCACACAAAAAAGGCACGACAGTAGAACATTGTCAGTCAACAGAGCTGGTATATAGAATATACCGACTCAAAAGTAAGCAGATGGGACCTAAGTATCCAACTGTATGTTTCACTCAGAATGATCTTCAGAAATGACGATCATATTCCAGAAAATGCATGATGAATCCAGCTGTACATACCTTCACAAACTAATCCAGTCCTTTACCTTAACATTATCCTGGCAATATCACATTCAAAATGAAATTTAATTGATCTTTTAGGCGCGATAAACACGAGTCCACCTAACTATCAACTATCATTGATCTTAAAGCGATTTCAAAAAAAGCCTAAATGGCAGTGGATCAATAGGAAAAATCAGTTCACACCGTGCCAGATTGCCACTTAAAATCGTATATTTTCATTGAATTTAAATCTGCAAAAGATATTAATCAAAGGACTCATAAATATATGTATGTGTTATGTTATCAATAAATGAATACACTCTATTAAATATGTATGAGAGTTTTCCTTTCCTTTTCTCATATGGGCTACAACTGAATTCAACTAAACTCTCTATTTCATACAAATACGATATACTTTTATTTGTATCTAAATATTCTATCATGTCAATATCTCATAACCAATTAATATCCAAAGACTAAATCTAGTTTAAATGACCATACGAAAAATAAATGTAGAACTTACAAAGAAATGACAAATGTAGTCATTTCTTTCATTTCCACCATCAAATTTTCAAACTATAAATTTCACTTGCCCTCCTGGGTTCTAACAAGTAACAATTTTAAGATCCTGTCAGTCGCATTTTTTTGATGAAACAATTGTATACATTACAATTCATCATACATTTATATTTCTTTAATGATCGATATAAGCGAGCATATTTTAAGTGTACCAAAGTCTAAATTGCTCTAAATGCATGAACTGGTCTTCTCCTAATGTTTTATAACCAAAATAGATATTTAATAATATCACTGTAACTTTCCCTTTCAAATTACGCGCCACGTCTACAATTCGTAAAACGCCGCCTACGTTCAACTAAATACATTTACACATAAAATTAAATCAAACACCTGCACATGTACTAAATAAAAATGTGAATTTCAATACCATCTTATTATTTTTGCTTAAACTCTGAAAATTATACATTTCTCATACTTCTTTCACACATGAAATGAAATGTTCAATGTCAATTAAATACAAATCACTTCCTAGGCGACAATCTGGCGTCACAAGTAAATAATATTTCTCTCGACAACTGCTGACTTCTTGTTCTGTATTTTGTGAAGTTGTTGTTGTTGTGTTTTGGCTTATTGGCGATTAGTCAGTTGTGACTATTGTCGCCAAAATACTTTACGTCGCGTGTTATATCTCTCATTTTTATATAAATTTTTCTTTCTTTTTGTAGCGTAATATGGTATCTTTAAGAACATGGGTGTCGATCCTTACGTAATACCTATTCATCAGGGGGGGGGATGAATGAATAGATCATCCCCCCTGATAAATAGGTATCAGTTACAGATCGACACCCATGTTTAAGAACCAAAACTTAAAGCGATTTGTAAACTAACTTCTTCTGATTCCGAAATCTACGGTATCTTCAAATGACCTTCAATTAAAAGAAAGAACAAAATAGCAATACAAAATAAGGTTTGTTCAAAAAACCAGGCAGCCATTTTCCAAAATTGCCGCCAAAAAACCTGATATTTCCTAATATCTCTACTTCTAAATGACTTAGGGCTTTGATTTTTATTGCTAAATATACATTTACTGGGGCCAGGAATCCAATGAATCACATTTCACTGAATTAAGCCTGACCAAAAGCCTAAATAACAGCCATTTTTCAAAATGAGATATAGGAAAATATGTTTTGTTGCGGCCATTTTGGAAAATGGTTGCCATTTCGGCTTTATGGCCAGGTATAACATACGGAAATGTGTTTATTTGATTCCTTGGGGCGCCCCTGCGTTGGCCCTAGGTTTTGGGAAATACCAAAGCAGACGCAAGTTAGCTGCAAGGCGCCCGCAACGGAGACCATAGGCCTACGACGAACGTACGGCCAGACTGACACTAACGCTTCACACCTCGATTATATAAGGAGAGGTCTAATTGCTACGACAAACCTAAAAAATGAAAATCACCAAGAGAAATGGTAACCTATAAGAAATCATTATATGTCTTGAATACTGCCCCCCTAAAAAGTGTAAGATGTCTACCTATCGAATGGACCTGGATTTTGCTCTACATCTCCAGCCTTTACAAGGATCATCTCGGGGAGGCAGGTGCTCTCTTGCATGACAGGGTCATCAGTGGTTCCTTTCAGGCTGCCTGGAATCTGACTCGAAATACCGTGTTTTCTGTCCGATAGTACCTAAACAAATTTGTGAAAAGGCCGAATGATTCTACAATGAATATATGTTCAAACCTCAATTGTATTAAACTGAAGAAAATTTATATTTATAATTATATAGAAACGAAATTTTATTGAAATTTTGAAGTAGAAAATCTGATACAATTTCGCAGTACTAGAATATAAAGTGTAGAAGTTGAGAATTGTATACATGCATTTCTATACATATGTCATTTAAAATATATAATTCGTACACCTATCTCAAGAATGTTAAATGAAATACGAGAAGATGATTGTACTCGACTGGCGAACCGAGCGGAGCTCTGTCTTGATTTTGCAATATATTTGCCGGTAATATGCACTATTGAGGATTCATTTTCTATTTTGTTCCGTGCTGTTAGATTTGGAATACCTGTATCTTTGAATATTTCTGACGATCATTTTCATGGATTGCAAAGTGGTTGTTTTTGCTTTAATTTCATCTTGCAGTTATCATGACTGGATTAGATCGAAATATTGATGTTTATTTGCGGATTAAACACCACTACTATTATACAGCACAGGTTAAATCTAAGATGTATTCAGCAAATGGACGTAGATAAGGTATGACTGATTCATATGTGTATTCTTATTCTTATCTTGCCTAAATTTTAAATTGATATCCTAGATTTCCAAGATGGCGGCGACCAGTGGAATTTTGGCGCCAACTGATTCTGAAAGGACTAATGATGATTTGGTGAGAAGATTACATCCAACAATGTCTTTCTAAAAGCTATACATGACATCGTCAAAGGCTCTTGTCAAAAGGAATTTGTATCCCTCTTAGACACAATTTGCTTGAGCTTGAGTCATCCATTGTTGATAAATACCTAAAGCTATCAGTATCACCTCACTCTGAAAGCTGATACTACGGCTATTGTGTGCAAGATCGCAGATGAAAAACTTGGAATTCAGCTTCATCCTAGCGCAATTGACAGATCTCACCGAGTAGGAGCCCCAATCAAAGAACAAGCATCGGTCCGTGACCAAGAAACCTCTCATGATACCGGGAACGCGAAACCCAGTAGTCATGACAACGACAAGAAAATGCGCAAAAAGCGATCTCGTCTAATAATTGTGAAGTTTGTGTCGTACCAAGCTAGGAAATCGGTGTTACTACAATGACGCAAGATGAAAGACACTGGCATATCGATCCATGAAGATCCCACCAAACACAACCAGTGTTTGCTTTATGAAACGAGGTAACAAAGCAAAGTTCTCAAAACATGGACATCAGATGAACATGTCGTTGCACTCCTTCCTGCCACCGGTGGGAAGACAGTGACTAAGGGAATCAGAGACTTTGAGGACTTAAGAACACTTTGATATTTATTTCCAATCAATATTATGAATACATTTGTACCCACTCTTTTTTAATGGTTAAATATCGACGCAGTAAATGTAATAAAGCAGTAAGGAAAAACCAAAAGGCCCTTTTATGTACTTTGTGTACTAATGGGCAGTATAGTATGTGACGGAATTTCTAAATGCAAATACAATGATACAAATGAATCTTTTGAAAATGTGCAATGTACTGTATGTACTCTGAAACAGTTTCCCTTTCGGAAACATGAAGATATCTTTCCCGTAGAAACTCATCTAGGATGTTCCCATCTTCCGAATATTACACAAGATTCTACTTCGAATGAAGGTTATATATACAATATACCTTTTGATTTTCCAAAGGAAAAGGGCATTAAATTAGCACACCTTAACATCAGAAGTTTAAGAAATAAAGTTACAGATGTAAAACAATGACTATCCGAAACATGGTTCAATGAGGATTTGTCAAATCATATGATTTGTATCGATGGTTACAGAATTGAAAGAAATGACAGCTATGCCACTGGCGGTGGTGGTGTAGGATGTTCCATTAACGAGAAATTTTTCTACTTAAGAAGACGGAACAGATCTTGAAACAAAGGAGCTTGAGCTCATGTGGCTAGAAGTCAAACGAACAAGTAGTAGTTCGATTTGTGTTGGTATTTTATACAGGAAACCTTCCTCCCAAGGTACATTTTTAACCATCCATGTCATCGTCAAAAAATATAGTTTTGGTGGGTGATTTCAACTGTAATATGGGAAATGATAATACATTGTCTAAAAATGTTAAGGATATTTGTCGTATTTGTCAGCTTAATCAGTTAATCAATGAGCCTACACGTATACACCTCATAGTAGTACACTCATTGATTTAATACTTACCTCGAATTATATTGCCAACTTGAGGTCCGGTGTAATGTCCATTGGTTTTAGTGACCACTGTTTAATTTTTTTTATTCGTAAAGGCAAAAATCCAATGCTTCATTCGAAAATATGTAAATTTAGATCTTTTCGGAACTTTAACGAAAGCGAATTTCAAGATGACTTGAGAAATCAAAATTGGGCTGAGTTTTATGAAGAAAATGTTGAAGTTGATAAAATGTCGTCTTATATCAAATCTGTGTTCACAATATTAAGTGATAAATATGCACCTTTTATTTCTGTCAGAAGAAAACGGAATGGGGTGCCTTGGATTACAGATGCATATATTACTTTGGCACGTGACCGGGATTACTATAAGAAAAGGATTAAAAAGACAAATAGTGATGGTTGCTGGGAAAAGTTCAAGTTTTATAGAAACAAAGGAAAAAACCTAATTAGAAATCTTAAACAAGCGTATTACCAAGATGAGTTCTCAGATTTCCAAAAAGGAAGACAGTAATTGGGAACTTTGATTTAAGCTACGTAACTGAAATACCCTCTTAGCCTTTTGCATTGAATTTATTTCCACAAGTCACCAACCACTCGCTAGAATGTGGAGTTTTCCCGTCAGCACTCATGTGTGCTTTGATTCATCCCACCCTCAAACGAACACCTTTGGATGCAGAAAATTGGAGAAACTTTAGACCCATCTCAAATTTGCCATT